TCTGCTTTCAGCACAGGGCAAGAGGAGTTGCACCAGTATTGATGAAGTCGTGACAGCGGCAACCCTAGAGACAGCCTGAGACGAGGACAGGTTTTCCTGCAAGGTCCCCGCCGCCAGCGTCTTGGTCTGGTCCCTCCATCCTTCAAAACTCACCAGTACTATAGGAATCACCTCCAAGACTTATATCTAAACACCATCCACCATGATGTCATTTCTGTCGCACCTTCACTCTCTTACTGCCTCTTCACAGTACTGCAGGCCTCACACAGTCCTCACGTTTGAGCCTCAGGCCCTGGTGGTCCATACAAGTTCCTTGACTGCTTCGTAGTTGAGCTCAAGTTCAGATTTAGGTATTCTGCTCCTCGCACCAGGATCATGCACAATGCCATCTTGTGTTTTGTTTATGTATGCAGGATTTTTTGTTGTTTTGAAATGGTCACATTGCCTTGTCCTTTTGCCCAAAGTACAAGTAAATAACTGATTTTTAGGTAGAATTTGCTCAGACTTTGGTGTCCCAGGTAATAAGTGTGCAAACCTCGTAGATATAAATGAAAACTTCTCAAGCCATGATGATTTTTCCTAAAGTAGAATATCCTTCTTTTTTGTGTGAATATGTGTATTTGGAGGGGACAGGAACTGAAGTGTATTTTGTCACTGGAGTTTTCACTTGGCTTTTGTTGGTTCGTGTTTCCCTGCTTGGTTTTTCCTATCCCGTTTAAAAAACTCTTCTGAATCATTTGTATTACCACTCTCTTGTCAATAAGCCTTTTCCCCAGATGGACAGGAAGGGCTTCCTTTAGCTTTCTTCTTGTCCACTGGTTGCTCGCTCCCATAAGCGCTGAGTTTGGAGCTAACCCTCCTGCCTGCTCTGTCTTGTTGCTTCTTCCCGAGTTTCTTTCTCTTCATGCTGCATTACCTTCCTCAAGACTTTTTTCAAATGATGTTTTTATGTGGTGAATTTTCTGGGCCTTGTATGCTGAGAATCTATTTTTTCCTTCTATTTAAACAGTAGCTTACCAGCTATGTGTAAATTCTAAATACCTAGTTCTTTTTCTTGAACACGTTATCTTGAGAGTCATGACTGTATTGAGTGTTGACACCTCTGCCATTGGTGCTACTCTTCCTTTATGGAAGGGTTTCCTTTTTCTTTCTGGAAGTGTTTAAGATCCATATACTCTTCTGTGTTCTTACAGTATGCTTTGCTGTGAATTTTTCCATAATTATTCCATTCGGCATTCCAGGTGTACTTCCCATCTGAGATTTGAATATTCTTTTAATCTGAGAACTTCCTGTCATTTTAAAAAATATTTCTTCCTTTCCATTCTGTCTTTGGTCTCCTGTGATTTCTGTGTTATAGATGTGAATGCTCTAATCCTGTTTTTTACTTATCTCCTGCCTGTTTTGTTCACCCCCTCTCTAGGCATTCGCGAATAGCTTTTCCATGCAGGTTCTCATCTCATTGACTCATCCTCTGTCTGTGCTTAATGTGCTTTTAATCTACCCCTTGAGTTCTTTATTTCAGACTCTTCTATTTTAATACCCACAGTCACATGTTGATTCATACTTGTATTTTCGTACTTATATTTCTACAAATCTTTTATTTAAGATATAAAGTATCATTTTGTTCAATCTGTTCTGTTTTCTCTAGGTGAATTCTTTCTATTTGCTTTTCCCCCATTCCTGTGTTTCCGCAGCTTGAAGTTTTCCTTGTGTTTCCTTGGGGCATTTGGTTGCCTAGGCTACTAACTAGACCTAAGGCAGGGGAGAAAGGTGAGGCTTTAGCTTGGCCTCCTCTGGGTTAACTTGAGAATGGAGGCGGAAAGCCTCTCACTTTCTAGTCTGTTCTCAACCTCTTCCCATTGTGTTCTCCTCCTTCAGAAACAGGACTGAAGCCAAAGCAAAGTCCCGCCTGCCCTATGCGCATGTTCCAGCTACACATGCACATCTACTATTCCAAAGTAAGGCAACACTCACCCTTGCAAAGTGCCTGCTCTTATGTGAGTTGGGGGTGGGAAGGGGTTGGGGATGGCCCTCAGAGGCCTGGGCTGGTTGCTCCTGGCTCTCGACCCAGATTTGTCTCATGATGATCAGATTGAGTCCCTTCCTAGAGGTCACATATTCTAATTCTGACATTGTAAGTGGGTGCTGGAATAGAACAATTAAGATGTCCTGTATGCCCATGAGGAGTTTTCACTTTAGTGGCATCAGTGGTAAAATACACATATATTTACAGTGAATTATGATGCCCTGTAATGGGACATGCCTAGAGTGTTAAGGGAACATGTGGCAAGATTTCCATGGGGGAGAAAGAGGTATTTGCTTGGTGGAGACGCTGTTCAACTTGAGTCATGGAGGATGTTTTTTGATTGTTTGCTAATTTGATGAGGAGGCTGAGAAGAAACTGGGCGAAAAGGAACATTTTTGGGCGGAGAGATTAAGTGGTTCAGTAGTGAGTGAAACCAGGTGAACAATTTGTCATGTCCTTTGCTATAACTTTCCATGGTATATAGCTTTGGCAAAGTAACAGAGGTAATGAGGAAACTGCTAATAAGTTTTAAAGAATGGTGTTGACATGACCAAGCATACATTTTAGAAAGATTTTTGCATTATTATGGAGAATGCAATGAAGTAGGGTAAGGCAGGAGCTATTGAGACCCTTTCAGTAATTTGAGTGAGAAAAGAGATGGCCTGAAGCAGGAGCTGTAGGGACAGAAAGAAGCAGTTAGATCAGAATTATCCTGAAGGATTTCCTTCCTTTACTACCAAAGGTAAACTGAAGGTGACCTGATTGGACACCTTCAGTTTACCTTTGGTAGTCAAGGAAGGTGGGTCAAAAATGATGCCTAGTTTTCTCTGAGCCATGCCATTCAAAACATATATTTTCATTAAGAATCATTTGGGAACATATGAAGGCAATAGTCTACCCTTTCTTTTATTTAAACAATAGTTTCTTATCCTTAATTCCAAAATGCAAATAGCTTGGAAAGCTGAAAGATTTTCCTTGACTTTGTGAGAAACTCAGTTGACAGCAACAGTCTCTTCTAGAACTATTAACATATATGAAGATGACATAAGGTGTGTGCAGACATCATGTTACCTTTCTAAAAGCCACGCATCCCTAGCCCCAGCAGTTTGTGCTTTAAATCTGAGAGATTTCTTCTTTTTGTATTGTAGGTTGTAGTTCAGGAAGAACTACTGTGTGACAGTGTAGCCATGGGGGAAGTTGGAGTGTCTGTGTTCTCTTAGGACCAACTCCAAGGAAGAATACCCAGGGAAAGCTCTAACCACAGAAGAGTGACAGACACTGACACACATGTGTGCGGAATCTCCTGGTAGAGCTAAAGGAAGATCATCAGTGATTGAGAACTGGGGATCATAAGTGGGAAGGAGACATAATTCACTTATGTGTGTGTAGTGTGTTTGTGATACACACATGTTGTCTTGTTTAGATGTTTACTATGTATGTTATTCTTTTTTGTTTTGTTAAATTTTAAGTTATGAAAATAACTATGAGAATATCATTGTGAAAACTTAAAGATTCATTGGAATTCCAGCTCCACTAAACATATTAATTTTGTAATAGTAAAGCTTAAAATGATTATTTATATAGACAGTAGCCTTTTCTTACACCTTGTGGTAATTGATTCCTGTCATTTGTCTTTATGACTGTGATGACATTAGAGATTAGAGAATGGGTTTCACAAGATTGCCAAGAACAGGAAATAGAGGATGCTTGAGGATGAGTACAGGTGGGAATTTACTCCTGGGGTGCCGAGCAGGGCAGTGAGAGTGGAGGGCTGGGGGAAGCCCTGTGTGCTGCTTTGCTACAGGGAATGAAGGTCGGGTATTTGGGAAGATAGTATAGCAAGACAAGAAAAAGGAGCGTATTTTCAAGCAAAGTTTATTTTCAAGGAAAGAAAAATTAGGAAACAGAAATAGAAAAGCAAGTTGTGACTTCAGAGAAACAAAGTTTCAGGGGGAGAACAGTAAATATCAGAAATGTAAGAATATTGTTTACTGTTGGAGGTAGCTTGAAATCAGAAGAAATACCCAACTATTTGCTATGCTTCACCAAATGTGCCGTGTGTGTGTGTGTGTGTGTGTGTGTGTGTGTGTGTGTGTATGTTACCAGGGATTTAACCCAGGGGCTCTCAATCTCTGAGCCACATCCTCAGCATGCATTTTTAGTTTTTAATTTAAGACAGGGTTCCACTAACTTGCATAGGGCTACCGTGTCCGGCATGTATATTCAAATTTTCTTTGCTACCTGTATAGATACTTGTATTTATAGTTCCATCAACAGTTTCTTTTACAGTGAAAAGCAAGAAATTAAATATTTAAAATATATCACGATGCTTATTAATTAATGTTTGTGTTTTCTTTGCTGACATTTTTTTTAATGTTACAACAGTCTTAGGTCCTGATTAGCACCAAATTAATAAACTCAATGTCAAGAAAAATTTGTTAAGATTTAGTTACTAGCTGTGTAGTTGATAGTCACAAACATGTTCTTTACCATGTGTATTCTTTATAGAAAAGTACAACCATTGATGGATGAAAATTTGATAAAGCAAATAAAGTAAAATGTCAATTCTAGGATTTAGGTGGTAGATAAAATCTGTAAGTTTGAATATTTTCATAACAAATGTTGGAAATAACCATAACTGCTAGTGAAAAAAAAATTGACATGAAATGAGCATATTATTGTGCAAATAGTAAAATAATTATATACTTGACTTCTTTTTGTTCTCCATTGACTTTGAAAAGTCTGAAACATTTTTTCTGATAGTGGAATACTAGTTTTAGAGGTAGTGCTATTTGATATAATTAATTTGTTCTCTTTTGGTGGAAATTGTTTTGTCCTGAAAAACAGCACTGTTGTGAACATTAGTAAAGATAGATGAATAAGCATGAGGGTTTATAAACCATTTTTGAGGTAAACATAAATTGGAGCAGACAAGGGTTTAGCAACTATTTAGAACTTTATTCTTCTATTTTAGGGAATCTGGAAACATCAAAGCTGGATTAGAACATCTGGTAAGTTCTCATTTTCTCTTGAACATTTGCATCATCTTTGATATCTGCATTCTAAATGAACACTTTTGAATGAGCTTTGAATGCCTCGCATTGAGAAAGTCAACCATTCCCAAAGGGTCAGCTTACTGTTATTATGTGAAGACACTTACATTTTCATTTATCTTATCATTTCAAGGGAATTAAAATTTTTTTAAAATTACCTTTTTTTTTTTGAAGTAGAGATGAAATAAAATGAATGACAATCCTTGGATTGATGATTGCTTTAATTATAAGCAAAAATTGTTTGGTGTAGAATTTTTGGCATATCTTGATCTGACAAAAACAAGCTTGTGTTTTAAGAAAAACAATCAAATATTGCATGCATAAATATGGTATGTTTTAGCAATTTAACAGCTTTGAAAGAAGCACACAGCTTTGCTTCTCCTGGTGTCTTTGCTTTATGAATAATGCATTGGTTCAAACTATATTCAGTTTTAGAATATATAATATTTGAGATGCAAAATTTTTGGTTTAAATAAACATTTTTAAAGAACAAGTAAAATTCATACTGATTTAACATTAAAATCTGTCCATTGATCAAAAAATTGGAAAAACAATACTAGTACAACAGGTTTGAAATTCATAGAGCTCACTCTACCAAATGTTCATTACAACATTAAATAGTTCATTTAAACAGAGCAGTATAAATTTAGGCTCTGGTTTCTGGTCACATCCAAATGTTGAATAATTAATGATAGAGATTCTTTTGTAAATACAGTCTGAGTACTTTCTTAATGCAAGACTTCATTCGGATATCATATTGTAGCTTTGTTAACTATTAATGTGGTTTTGTTCTGCTTTTGCAGAAGCAAAACAGTAACAAGAGGCAGCTTCATTTTGACTTAAAGGAATTTCAGAGTTAGAAGGAATTTTAGGTTTTCCTTTTTGTAGTTAAAGGAAACGGAGAAATCCTAGACCTTTAACACAGTTCCTAAAAATTATAGATTAATTATTTAAAAAGTAAGAAATAATGACCTAGTTAGAAAATTTAAACTATGTATTTGTCGGGATTAGAAATAAGTAAATAACATTGTCATTATCATCATTTAAAAGTATTTCTCGAACCTCTTGAGTTTTTATCACTTCAAATTGAGAAGGTACTTAGGATATGAGAACATTAGAATAAAAACGGTAATCAAAACATCACATTCCAATGTCAGTTTGTAGTTTATAACATTAATTAACAGCTACCTGAATGCCAAAATGATCTCTTACACTGATCTTATATGTGCTTAAGTATTAAGAAGATTTTTTTACTCACTCTGTTCATGTTCTTCTGTATGTAATGATGAGTATGATAGTTCTACATTTAAATTCTGTATTTCATACTTGGAGGATCTTGTTTTTAGTGGCAACCTTGTTTTAAGTGGCAACACGTGGCAGTGACTTTCTGTGACTTGGGCTGCCAGGAACGTATCCAAAGTGGGTGGGTCTCCATATTCCCACTGCCCACTTATCCAAGTGGTTCCACTTTTATTTTGTATAGTGAACTTGTACACTTTTAAATAAGATTTCATCTGAAGAAAAAGTTTCCCAACTAAAATTATTTAAAAGCTTTTGACAAAGGATAATTGTGTATTAATTATTATTCTCTTTTCTGGACCCTAAGTTATGTTTCCTTTTTATCTGGGTCATATATATCAAACTTATTTCAAAGACAAGTATTTTAGGCATGAGAGAGCCAAGATTAGCATACAGTTAGGTAGTAAGAAGCAGATGGTTTTAATGAGGTTTAATTTAAGTTATGCAAAAGATTCTGCAACTTGATGTTAGAATTAACCCACTACCTGTGCACTGTTGAAATATTCATCTATCTTGTTTTGTGTATTAGTAAAATCAATGATAGTCTTCATAACCTAAGGAGGGTCATGAAGGAACAAAGTGGGTGAACCCACAGTTATGGCATAAGCATTAATGAAACCTGCTCTATTTATGACCTTGGACTCCTGGGGCTGTGTCTCTCTGTCCCCATTGAGATGTTTAGAACCCTTGCCCTTTAGCACACCATTGCCCTGGTTTGAATTGGCTATGTAGCCAGATACTCTTAGAAACATGATGGTGAGTGACAGACTTTAAAGATATGTAAAGTAGAATTAAAATGAGAAGCACAGCCCACACATTTGAATCAAAGTCATTTTCAGCCTTCTGTCCTTTCCATATTACTTATTTACTAATTATTATAGAGAACTGACATTGTTCTGAGAGAGGGTAAAAGCTAGTGTGGATTTAAGTAAGGTAAGAAAAGTGACATGCAGCCTGTTATGTTTGCTGCCAGGAAACATACCTGGTTGGCTGACATTGCATTCAATTACATGAGACCCTGGGAGGAGAAAGCAGGAGCACAGAGAAAGGGGTGGGTGCTGGACGACCTCCTGAACCTTTTTAGGGCTGGTCTCCTTTGCCCAATCCTTCATAGTCTTTTAGGGCTATGGTTCAGCCTTGGTCCTGCCATTTTTTCCTTTCTCTGTTGCCACCTTTTCTGGGGACCTGTGTTTTTTCTTTTAACAAACCCTCCCATAAAGCCCATGTCACTTTTAAGTTCTAGAGAGAACTTGAAGGTCATTGCTCTATTATCCATTGACAATTCTTGCCTGATGGTTGCTGAATGGAGATTTTTCAACTCTGCCCTTTTCTCCATGTTAGCACCTGACATTCTATTGTAAAGAACCACACCCCTTTTTAATTTTTTGTTTTTATTATGAGCAAGGATCCCTGGGTTTTTGTTTTATTAAATAGGTTATTATCATTTCTTTTCCTTAAATATTTTGATGTTCAAATTGTCCCAGATTCGTCCAGGGAGGCTCCTTTCTAGATGACATCTAGTTCTTTTGGCATGCCCTTTTCTTCCCTTCACTTCCAGCTTCCTCTTTTATCATACAAGTTATTCCAGGCTTATCTTGTACTTTCCCTGTCTCACTCTTGTAACCAGCCATTTCTTTAAATTATTCTGTTACAGTTTGGATGTGAGGTGTTCCCCAAAGCTCCAGTGTTGATGCAGGGATGTTTGGAGGTGAAATGATTGGATTGTGAGAGCTGTAACCAAATCAGTCCATTCTACTTTGAATGGACTGATTGGTTGGTAGCTACAGGCAGGCAGGGTGTAGCTGGAGGAGGTGGGTCACTGGGAGTGTGTCCTGGAAGGGAGTATTTTCCCTGCAAGACCACCTCCCACCATGGCTCCATCATGCCCTTCAGCCATGATATTCTTCCTCACCTGAGGCCCAGTGTGATAGACTTGGCCAACCATAGACTGAACCTTTGAAACCATGAACCAAAATAAATTTCTCCCCCACTAAAGTTGTTCTTGTCAGATATTTTGGTCACAGTGATGAAAAGCTGACTAACATACCCTGTTTCAATTTAGAGGGAAATGGTATTTGGAAATCAAGCTCTAGACATGTGTTGTGATCATTGTTTCTGGGATTCCATTGCCATCAGGAACTTTCAGTCCCATTTAGGTAGGTAGACAGGCTATGAATTGATTGATAAATTAAAATATGTACTTTTAAGAAAACATGGTCTTATTAATACGTTCAATCTGAATATAAACCACAAAACTCTTCCTGCTCATCGCCCACTTCCTGCCTATGTTTTTCTTCATTCAAAATAAGAGCCCTGATTCCTTACAACACCAGTGTATTTGCTCACTTGATCGATTATATAAACATTAAATAGATTCACTGCCACAGTCCGGCTGGGCAAATAACCAGGAGGTGACAAGCAACTTGAAGGTTGAAACAGGAACTACTTTATTGCAAGTGAACTCAGCGGGAACTGAGCGAGAACTCAAAGTAGTGGGCACCCAAGGTAGCAGGAGCCGCTTCTCTGCCGGACAACAGAGGCATATATACTTAACTAATTACACACAGCTTAACTTAATTAATATCATCTAGATACAGCAGTCAGCCAATAAGGAATCCTCATCATCTTAATGGCTCACTGGCCTTGCTTCACAAACCACTCCTCCTGGCAAAGTGCCAGGCGCCATCTTGACTTGATTTGCATCCCCAACAATTCACATTTGCCATGGGTGTATATTGTGAAAATCAACTTACTAAAAAGAGTTTAGGATCTGCTTACAGTTCTTTCACCCATTGAGTGTAGTCATGTCATTCATCTGAAGCTGAGTTGCATTCATTTCTGTTCGCTTTCAGCTTAAGTGGTTTTGTCTTCATTCTTGTTGATTGAATTATATATTTGAATATGTATGTGTGATGCACACGTGCTTCTATAAGTCAGATTTTTATACAGTGGTAGTTTCAGAGAGATTAACCACTCCCTTTCTTTCCAGACTGTTCTTCTCTATCCCTTGTAGGAAGCCAATTTTATTGAGTTGTAGTTCATCTTCCCTTACTTTTAAAAAAAATTAAGCATGTTTATGAGTGTGCACATGCATGTGTGTGTGCGCCTGTGTATTTGTATTTTCTTATGAAAAGTAGCATTTTGATATACAATTATGTATTTAGCCTTTTTGTTTTTGCTTATCAATGTATCCTGAAAGTAACTTCATACTTATTGGATATGCCATTGATTTTATTGGCTGTCTTCTTTATTCAGGGTCTAAGACTTTACTTGCATGCCTGGCGCTTTCATATATGGCAGCAAAAGACATGAGATTCCTGGGTCAGTGGTAAAGCACCTAGGTTGATGTGCTTCACATTCATATAGGTTCCTCTGACCCCCACATCCCATAGAGTGGTGCTGTGTAGTCAGTGGGTTGTGTGGTAGCTGAGAATTCTGAATTTAGGACTTCTGGAAAGGACTGCTACAAAACCTGTCCACATTTGCCCCAGAGAAAGATACCTTTGTTATCCTAGTCAAGTAGCAAATCTGCCTTCTAGGTCAGTAGAGGTTCTGTGTCTGTCTTCCAGGACTGTTTGCCATATAAACATCTTTGGAAGATGGTCCAGAGCAAAAGCTGATGTAGGATGTATGGAACTGTGGTGGGGAATTGTCTCAAG